AAAGGAAGGTTGAGGAGGAAGGATTGCCTAGCCCAGCAGGTCGAGGCCGCATTGTACTCGAACCTGGGCAACAGAGTGAAACTCCAACTCAAAAAAAAAAAAGAGAGAGAGAGATGGAAAATAGTCAGACTGAAACAAAAAATAAAACTTAGCAAACACAATTTAAATGAAGTAATAAAGAAAAATTAAAAACCAAAGGAGTGGTCAAAGAAATACAAGACAAAGGTAAAACAAACTTTACTTCATAGCATTCTATCTCTTGACTAGAGCATATATCCATAAACACATTTTTCCTTTGCCAAATATTAAAACAATCATGCTGGCCACAAAGAAAACCTTAAAAAATTGTTTTGGTTTTTATTTTTCAGTTGGAGTCTCACTGTGTCACCCAGGCTACGTGTATTTACACGCTCACAGCTACTGCAGCCTCGACCTGTTGGGCTTGGGAGATCTTCCTCCTCATCCTTTCAAGTAGCTGGAACCACAGGCACACACTACCAAGAAAACCTTAAAAAATTTAAGAGACTTTTCAGGCCACCTTCTCTGAGAATAATTCAAAAAAACCAGAAAGTAATGGTAAAAGTAACCCAAAGAATATTAACTACTTTGAAATTGCAAAATTGATTCTTTGAATTAAAGAGAAAACCACAAAAGAAAATTAGAACCATTTGTAAAGAAAAGAGATTATTTATAATTCCTAATGCAATGCAAATATTGTTGTGTAGGAAAGAATGACAAGAAAAAGTCTGCACATGGTCAGTACAGACAATTATCCCCCCCCCCAATTTTTTGTTGTTGCTGGAGCTACACTCTGTCGCCCAGGCTGCAGTGCAGTGGCACACTCACGGCCACCCCAGCGTCAACATGCTGCTCTCTGGTGATCCTTCCACCTCAGCCTTCCAAATAGTCAGAACTACAGATGCGTGCTACCATACCCAGCTAATTTTTTTGATTTATTGTAGAGATGAGGTTTCACCATGTTGCCCAAGCTGGTCTCAAACCCCGCAGGCTCAGGTAATCCTCTTGCCCCAGTCTCCCAAAGTACTGGGATTACAGGCTTGAGTCACTGCGCCTGGCCCCCCAAAATATTTGTGTTTGTTTGTTTGTTTCTGAGTCGGAGTCTCACTCCGTCGCCCAGACTGGAGTGCAGTGGCCGCTCCCGGCCACCACAGCCTCGACCTGCTGGGCTCCGGCGATCCTTCTGCCTCAGCCTTCCAAGTAGCTGGAACTACAGGTGCGTGCTACCACAGCTGGCTAATTTTTTGATTTATCGTAGAGATGAGGTCTCATCAAGTTGCCTAAGAAGGTCTCGAACTCGCGGGCTCAGGCAATCCACTCACCTCAGCCTCCCAAGGCGTGGGATTACAGGCTGAACCACTGAGCCTGGCTCCCCCCAAATATTTTTGATCCATGGTTGGTTAAATTAACAAATTTAAAACCCACGGATATGGAGGGTCAACTGTATTTGCAAAAAATAACTTGAAAGATGATTTCCTTGAATAATCATACTTATCTATTTAGTTGATTATCTGTCAGGTGTGTGTATAATTTCACATAACTAAAATCAGCGTTTTATTAAACATTAAGAGAATGAGAGGCTAGGTACAATAGTTTATGCCTGTTATTCCCAGCACTTTGAGAGGCTGAGGTGGGAGGATCGCTTGAGGTCAGGAGTTTGAGACTAGTCTAGGCAACAAAGCAAGACCCCATCTCTACAAAAGTTTAAAAAAGAAAAATAGCCAGGTGTGGTGTCACATGTCTATAGTCCCAGCTACTCAAGAAGCTGAAGCATGAGGACTGCATGAGCCCAGGAGTCTGATGCTGAAGCTAGCTATGATAATACCACTGCACTCTAATCTGGGCAACAGAGTGAGACCTTGTCTCAAAAAAGAAGAGAATGAGATATACAGTTTAACAGTTAGAGAAGATTCCATTCATGACATGCATTTGAACATCTAGATGATGTCTGCATCCATTTAATCACTCCAAATTTGGAGCCAAGGTATTCAAGAGGCAGCAACACCCCAGTCAACACCGGAGCTAAGTAGTCTAGATTCACTTTCAAGTTACACCATTATGAGATCGATTACACTGAGGAAGTGACTTAACTGTACTTAGTTTCCTCACCTGTAAAGTAGGGGTAACAACAATACCTACTCTGCGGATTAGCCAAGTTAATAGTCATTAAGCACTTAGTACAGTACCAGCACTAAAGAGATGTTAGTTGTTATTTTTCTTAATACCAAATATAGGAGAATACTCAATGTTTTAAAAGGTCTCTCTAGGAATAGTGTAATGAGGATATTCCATTTTGATGAACATGGTAGAAGGGCTCTGACTTCGTTAGATATAAGCATAATGCCACAAGAATTCAGATTGATATCCTTACAGGGAAAGAACAATACAACAGACTAGAAGACCCTGAAACAAACCAATGCATATGTAAAAATTCAATAAAAATCAGTGACAAACAGACCATTCAATAAGTAGTGCTGGGACAACCAGTTATTCATTGCAAAAAAAGAAAACACAATTTGTATCATCACACTGAACAACAAATTCAATTTTAGGTAGATTAACGTACTAAACATGGTAAGCATATTTTTTAAATTTTAGAAGACTATGTAGAGAATAGATTACAACCAGAGTGCAGAAGAATTTCATCAATTTTAGAAAAAGAAGAGAATGGGCCCTCAGTGGCTCAGGCCGTAATCCTGCGCTTTGGAAGGCCGAAGTGAGTGAATTGCCTGAGCCCGTGGGTTCGAGACCCGCCTGGGCAACTTGGCAAGACCTCATCTCTACAATAAATCAAAAATTAGCCAG